TGTTAGTGGCCATGCGCCATAGCCATAGACAGTTAGTGAGTGTGTATGTGTGTGTGCAGTGGTTGGCGTGCATGGTATCCAGGGTGATCCGGAGTCGAGTTGCGTGTRTACTCTGAGTCGAACGTGTAAGTGAGGGCGCCCAGCGCCATAGCCAACTGAAGTGAACTTGGATTTGAGTTGAGTTGCAAGCTACCATATCTCCGAGTTTGAGTTGGGCGCACAGCGCCAAGTTATTCTCATCTGTTGCATGCATGTTTGAATGTGAATTTGCAAGACTGATTTCACACATGTATATGTATATATATGTGACCATATATATCGTCAAATAGAACTGCCCGGTACACCGTAGGCAGAGAGGGAGAAGAGGACAACAAACGAGGGGCTGTGACAAACTGTTTGTGCAAGTGTGCCGCTTCCGTAGCAGACGGGTGTGTGGGCACGCCCCACTCAACCAGGCACACGTGGGGAACTTTTCATTTTCGATTATATTGCCCATTTATACTTCTTTTATTTTATGGATGGGGTGATGGGTTGTAGATGGAATGAGAGAGAGAGTTTGGAGTTTTTTTTATAACATACACATGCCCCCACATCCCCACACGCCCACAACACACGACACACACTTACACACACACAGAATACACACAGACACACGAACACAAAAACAAACAAACAAACAAACAAACAAACAAACAAACGAGGAAAATTCCACCGTGCGCGCGAAGCGCACTGCCCATGCACACAAACGTGCGCACCGCAAAAGCGCACTGCCTAAGAGCGCACGGTGGCACGTGCACCTGTATCATTGATGTTCGCATCGTGCAGGGCATACTGCATAGGTGTGCCGCAATATGATTACAACTCACAAAGAAGCGCCAATGAGTGCATAAAAAAGAACAAACATAGGGGTGTAGACTGCTGTAGCCCAGCGACTACAATCAGGATTTGTTTTATGAACAGCTAAATGTGGGTGCCGTTTAACCATGGTGTAGATAAAGGAGCAATTGAGGTTGTTGGTGTGCAGTCCTTGCCAACACATCCACACACCACCACTTTTCTCAGGGTTATCGCGAACTCTGGGGGACGTGGAGAGTCCTTATCCATCAGTCAAATGCATCCTGGACAGACTGTCGGGGTTCAACCTCCTGATGATGAGTCGGTGAATGTCCAACGAACAGTCTGGCACAGTTATGCTTTTCTTTGTGGAGTTGTGTATAGCAAATGTGACAACATACGCACACACACACACACACACACACACACACACACACACGCACACACACACTGAAGATGAAGGACGGACACAAAGGCTGTATAAGCTGAGGATCTGAAATGAAATGGACAGGAGTATGAAGCTCTGAAGAGATGCATAGGAGCAGACCTTCCCTTTTACTCTGCCCCCTGAAATAATGTGCAAGTGGGCCGTGGGGCACACGGGGATGTGGGCAGCTGCCGCTCAACCACCATCAACGTGGGCAGCCTTGCGCGTAAGAGGCACAGTAAAAGGGGACTCCGAGGTGCAAGAACAATGAAAGGGGTACCCCAAGAACAACCAAAAAACTGTCTAATTATAAAATTGCTTTAATATGTTGGACATCTCAAATGCTCTCGTTGTCTGTAATAGGATTCACCTGGGTGGAATTGGGGCTGTTGTGGGGAAAATCTAAAACACACACAGCCTCCTTTCAAAGTGTGCAAGTGCGCTGTCATGGCACACGGGGATGTGGCAGCTCGTGCTCAACCACAATCAACGTGGTGAGTCTTGTACATGAGAGGCACAGTAAGAGTGGAACTGCAAGAACAAATGAAAGGGGTTCCCCAAAGTGAGCCAAAGTGAACAGTTAAGAAAGGGATTTAAACATCTGCTACAGAGCTCAAACTGTTTCATTGTTGGACTGTCGCAACTCAAGTACTTTTGTTGTCTGCTATAGGATTAAAGCTGCTTCGATTTCTTATCTACTCATTTGGGTGGAATATGGGCTGTTGTGGTGAAAATTCGAAACACAGAAAGAGAGAGAGAGAGAGAGAGAGAGAGAGAGAGAGAGAGAGAGAGAGAGAGAGAGAGAGAGAGAGGCAGATGCCATCTTGTTTCCTTTTAAAATATTTGCCATCTCTTGTAGGTCTCTGTTAATCTTGTTGTGTGTGTTTGTGTGCACACACACTGGTGTTTCCTGGGGTTGTGGTGGTGGGTGGTTTGTCCCTGCACTTGCCTGTCATTGGCTGGGTTGTTTGCCTGTTCATCTGAGTGCGTGGTGCTGTTTTCGTACGTGCAGGCAAAACTGCAACAGCTTGCGGTCGATGCATTCACGTCCTTTGTTCGAGCCTATGCAGTACAGAAGGGTACGTTGAGCCGGATCTTCCATGTGAAGAATCTTCATCTCGGGCATATTGCGAAGAGCTTCGCTCTCAAAGCGCAGCCACACACCGTTGGCACTATATTTCATAGAAAGGAGCTGAAGCGGAAACATGAGGAGAAAGTCATGGTGAAAAGGAAGAAGCAGAAACTGCGGCCGGGGAGAATGCTTGAATGATCTGGGTTTCTGATGGCCGGAGTCAGGTTTTTTCTGCTCCGTCAAGAGGAAATTTTGTCCCTCTGGTCAAACGTCTATAGATTCAATTATTGATGGTCAGGGTTTGAATGAATGGGGGTATGGGGGGGGGAGAGAGAGAGAGAGAGAGAGAGAGAGAGAGAGAGAGAGAGAGAGAGAGAGAGAGAGAGAGAGAGAGAGAGAACACTAGGGAGTTGTGTAAATAAATCCAACTGCCATAGTCTGACAATATATGGAGGTAGGTGATAGAAGAAAACGGTGAAGAGTCTCTCTTCTTTTTTTGTTGGCTTGACATGCTATGTTCACATTTAGGTGTTGAAAAGGATGAGTGGAAATTCGGAGATTCTTTCTCCGATTGCAGCGATCACTTTCGGAGCGATGAGGAGAAAAGTTGCAACTGGTCATGATGTGAGAGGAGAGATGTGCTATTGCTCTAACGAGTGTACTACCATTGCCATTGACGACTCTGAAAATTGTGCCTTTGCTGATTTTGTTTTTTTGCTCGTTCATTTCCCTGTTCCAGAAGGATTTTCGTGTTGTAATTTCTAGCCCTATGCTTTGTTTTTGGTTTTTTTCACCTCTATGCTTTTCTACCCCTCTGGACATTTCATGCCTGTAGTTTTGAAACCCAGAAAAGTTTAAGGTCCACACTGCACGCCTTGGTGAACGATAAAAGGCACAGGAGTTGTCGAAAGGGGATCAGGTGATTCTCCTACTATGATGTGTTTAGTGTCTCTGGACGTGGTTATTGTCAGATACACCCAGGATGGGCCATAATTGTGGTGAGAAACATCCGGGGAAGGCCTACTGTAGTTTCATGTATGCCCTCAGAACTGGATAAGCCTAGTTTCATGTATGCCCTCAGAACTGGATAAGGGTGATGGTGGGGAGTTCTGCAACCGATGAAATAACGCATTTCGGCTGCAAGCTGGTGAGCATGACCTCGTTTTCTAACAGCATCCCAGATTGAGTTCCGGAAGAGTGATGGGTTCTCTTTCGTCCTGTTTCTGTCGCGCAAAAAGAAAACCCAGTTGTAAAGAAGAAAGAAGGAGAAGAAGAACAACAACAAGATGAAGAGCAAGGCGAAGAGCAAGGAAGTGGCCATGATGGGCCCGCTCTGCTAGCCAAGCATCCAAGGACGGGAGTTTGTCATGTCTGCAAGCTTGAAAAAAATTTGCTTCGATGCTTCTCCAGTTAGGGCATATGCTACCCTCTGTTATTTACTAGGCCATGCATGCAACCCGCATGGCACGGGCCCGGCGGAAAAGGGGAGGGGGGGGGAGGGGTCAGGCAGGGATGTAGGTATATGCTATGCTATGCTAGGCTGTGCTGTGCTATGCTATGCTGCTATGAATCTGCAGATCTTTACACTAGAAGACTCAGATGCATCTGTTGTGAGGCTTGTGGATGAAATTCTGCTGCAGCAATGCTTAGGATGCAGTTTGCTGTTGTACGCCGAGAACATAGCCATCACAGTTTAGGACATATTCACAATGGCATATTTCCTGACTACTTTCAGGCTGAAAATAAAGAAGGTTGAGGTTACTCCAGGTCTGCCATTGTCTTGTACAGTGAGGGTGGTGCGGTTGCTTCATTTGCATATGCATGGTGAGCTACTCCCGAAAATGTATCAGTGAATTCGACTTCCACCAGTTTCGCACTATGGATGGAATCAACGATTGTGACCATTGCCGATCAACGAAAAGATCAGAAATATATACATGTCTGACTTTAGTCTCACATCTATATGGTAATTCAGCAGCAGGACGACTTGCCCACTTTCTTTGTCCACGAGACCACTCCGTTTGATGCAGTTTACCCTCAAATGGACGCTGGCCTTGTCCACGAGACCACTGCATTTGGCTCAGTTGCCCCTCAAAAGATAGCCTTAAACCACCAGTGCATGGTCCCAGGCAACTGGAAAACCTGTTTTGAGTTTCTCCGAAATTGTAGGAGGCCGAGCACCGTAGATAAAATGAATCGGCGGTGGGCAGCCTCCGAAAATGGCCAGCAGCTCACAGCTGGCATGTACTGGTGCTTTAAAGGGTCACCTTGGTCGTGAAGATGCGCCCACGATGTCTCATGTTCCGCTCAATTGTGAGTAGTATGATGAGGGGGAGATTTTCATACATTCGGAGGGGTGTTCTGGTCCAAACTTAGCGCCAGAATAGGATGTTGGCCCCCGGACTGCCAAGGGGACAGAAATGAGGGGGAGGGGTCCCAAGGAGGCTCACCTTGGATTCGTTGCCAGGCCAAGCAGTTGGGCCAACTCAAGGCTGGAAATCTCAGAAGATTGACTTGCCACGAGGGTGCGGTTACGCAATGAGTAGGCTATACCGTGGTCTGGCCTGCGGATGCTCGTGAGGGAGGATGAGCGCAACCTCATCGTGATTCAATGCAATCCGTTTAAGTTGTGTAAACCCAGTTGTAGCTGTCTAAAACGTTACCTGGCCATGATAACATGTGCATCCATACAAAAACATTATGGCAAGGGGGGATGACACAACAAGACATTGCAGCGAGTGTCATGGGCATCGCACCCTTCCCCCCCCTTCAACTGTCCAGTTTAGTATTGCAAGTGGATGCCCCTCATAGATGCGGTGGAAGCTGCGAAACGAGGGCAGGTGGCACCATGCGGGGCAGGTGTCACACCATATAATTGTACATTTCTTGTGATTCTTGTGCTCCCAGGGAAAGAAAACACACACACACACACACACACACACATACACACGCACAGGCAGCCGCCAAAAAAGAAAGAAAAGTCACTTGGTGCTCACCTTATAAACAGAGACGTAGGGGCGTCAATTCACTGCTCAGCTCATGTTCACAAGGAGGAAAAAAATGGGGGCTGAACATTCATTCTGGCGAGTAGTCGAGCTAGGCCCACAGTGCACAGACGACAAAGAATATGGCATTGTATCTTCCCATGTTCTTGCTGAAGATTCATTCTCATTTTCCTCATCTAGCGCAGTGGTCAATCGAGGCCTGTGGCCGGGCTTTGCAATGAGGAAAATGAGAATGAATCTTCAGCAAGTACATGGAAAGATGCAACGCCATATTCTTTGTCTTCTGTGCACAGTGGGCCTAACTCGACTACTGGCACCTCCCTCCCCCCCAACACCCCCATACACACACACACAAAATGGCCAACACGAAACAGCAAAAAAAAAAAAAAAAAAAAGGCTGTCTATCTTTCCATGTTCTACCTGAAGATTCATCTCACGCGTGCACAAAAGGAAAAAAAAATATGGCTCTCTATCTTTCCATGTTCTAGAGTCTAGACGAAGATTCATGCTCCTTTTCCTGATCTCCTACCCGGTGGGTGTCGTGTGGGGCACTGCTGCAGCAAGACCTGGGAAGTTTCGCCTTTTCTTTCTGGCACTCCGTCGGTCCATTCCCGTGGGACCGCATGTTGTGGAGCGGGTGTCGTATGGACTCCATGCAAGACCCGCTATTTCCTCCAGGCGTATGGGGATGGGATGTTTGTTGCCTGCTTAATGCCTTTGTGCTTGTCTGATGCAGTTGGACTCAGCAAATTCGATTTGACAATTGTTTGGTTTCCTCCATGTATACGTCAGATCTAATCTTGTGTATGAGACGCTGGACCCAGTTTCCAGTAGGTGCAGCTCCCGGCCAATAAATGGGAGAATCTCCAAATGGCATGCACACTATTGGAGGCTGCTCATATCACCTCAAGTGGTCTGCCCCCGCTAAAAGAAAGATGGGCCAGCATTATGTTGTTCTGTCACGTATGAAGCATCCACAGATGACGAGTGAAGTCGACAAGGGAAGCGGGGAGAGGGGTTAGACCCCTGCCCTTCCCCCTGCACCACTATACCCGTCTCAGCTGTTCAGCAACTTCAGCTTCCCAGCTTCCCATATTAGTATTATGTTTCTCCCCTGCTCAATGTCGAGTTGTTCAGCTGTTATGCTCCCTTTTATTTGTGGTGCCCTCTCTATCACTCTCACATGCAAACACAACCCATGGATGGGCCACGTGCGCATGCTCTTCACACCGCGGTTGCCGCCGATGGTATTTTATCGAAACGGCACGTTTGTCCAGAGCCTGGCCCACCGGAACAAAAAGATGTGGGCTACTGGACAGCTCAATCTGTATTCCTGATCCTTTCCAGATTTGTAAATCAATTATTCGCAGCAGGAAATATGCTTTCTCTCTCTCTCTCTCTCTCTCTCTCTCTCTCTCTCTCTCTCTCTCTCTCTCTCTCTCTCTCTCTCTCTCTCTCTCTCTCTCTCCCCCCAAGTGGGTAGAGTTGCACATCAAAATCAATGGGCACTGCCCTCCCGTCACCTCCCCTCTCTCTCTCTCCAAGTGGACGGGCATCAAAATGAATGCTCAACTTTGTCCCCCCCCCCCTTTCTCTCTCTCTCTCTCTCTGTCTATCTATCTATCTATCTATCTATCTATCTATTTAAAAAAAAACAGGAAAAGGTGTGGGCTTGCACCCTAACAGCTAGCCAATCTCGGTGGTGGGTCGTTAGGAGACTCCCTCAGGGAAGTCAGGTGAATCTAAGGTTGGATTCGGAAGGTGAGGGACATTAGCTTAGGTAGAGAAACAACCGTCTAGGAAGGGCGTCTACTAGTTTGAGGGATAGAAATAGAGCCAGGGATTTTGAATTGCCTTCTTTGGTAAGGTGGGCAAAGACTTTGACAGCTAGGAGACACTTCGAAATCTTGAGCAGCAAAGGTTTTCTACTAATAGGGCGCGGCGTCATGGAGCTCTCAACAAACCACTCCTGGAAGGTGAGCCTGAAGTCACTGATCAGCAAGTGCACAGAAACTTGGTAGACAAATTTCAGTGGCACAGAGCGGGAGGGAATGGAGAGAACGCTCCTGTGTGAGAGCTACTGGTACCTCAGCGGCGAAATACCCGGTTTCAGATTTCTTTTTGGGCGCTTTTCGCAGCAGGGCGGCCAAACAAAGAACTCAAACTGGACTCAGCAGTGCTTGTATAAGGAGAACTTAAAGCTCTAGGAGTCAACGAGGACTCAACAGGTGAACGTCTGTCTGCCCCCAAGAGCACCATATGCTTAGTTGCTGACTACTATCCTCGTCAAATCAGAACACATGGTCATTGTCTCTGCATCGTAGACTCGATGTTACCCCAAATATAGCTATAATTACCGTATGTTCCATTCAGGCGAAGACAGTAGCTTTTTGCTGGCTTAGTATAATCATGTGTGGGCTCAGTTGTCTGGCATTCTGCGGGCCAAATCTAATTATTTGGCGAGAGCTTTATCCCACCTCTCCCCTCCTCCTCTTCATGGGCCAATATCGCTATAGGCTGCTCCTCAGGAGCCATCAAGCAGAACAGGGTGTTCGCCGAGAAATGGAACAGTGATTTATACCCATCTTCCCCCGAACACGTTCTCATTATCACTGTATCAGACCAGAAAGATAGCTTGTGTGCATTCATTATCAAGGTGCGTTGGGGGGCGCTGGTGGACGATACTCCATTACTCCAGATGCTCCCCACTGCTGGCTACCAAATAGGTTAAATCCTCTTTTTTCTGTTTTGGAAAGATAATATGTGCTCGACACTCGTTACCAGATATATATATTGCCAAACAAGTCGGTCACCAACTCCAATGAAACAGTGTGTCACGGCCCCTCATTTGTTGTCCTTGTCTCCCTTTCTGCCTCCGGTTTACTGGGCAGCTCTGTTTGACAATGAGTCGGTGAAACTCTGACCAAACAGTTTGTCACAGCCCCTTGTTTGTTGTCCTCTTCTCCCTCTCTGCCTAGGGTTTACCGGGCAGCTCTGTTTGGCGATATATATGGACTCCGGCGAAAAAGTTTGTCACGGCCCCTCTTTTATTGTCCTCTTCTCCCTCTCTGCCTACGGTTTACCGGGCAGATCTGTTTGGTGATATATATGGATTCCGACGAAAAAGTTTGTCACAGCCCCTCTTTTGTTGTCCTCTTCTCCCTCTCTGCCTACGGTTTACCGGGCAGCTCTGTTTGACGATATATGTATGAACTCCGATGAAAGAGTATGTCACAGCCCCTCGTTTGTTGTCCTCGTCTCCCTCTCTGCCCACGGTTTACCGGGCTGAGGTGGGCACCAACCACTGCCCTCAAGGTACCTGTGACGAAAATCAAACCAGGCTATCACTCACCGACACCAGATGGAAAACTTGACAGACTGTCGGTTCACACCCCATCACAAGCCAGCAAAACACCCACGAAACAAAGAAAGGTCTGCCACAGCCAAAAAATACACTCCAGACACGCCGCTGGCACTAGAGGCACAGCATGGCCACATAGTGATGGCCCCGACCACTACCGCTCAACCTGACCGGAGAAAACTGTAGCAGGGTGCTAGCAAAGTTGTGGTATATATCGTCAAACAGAGTTGCCCGGTAAACTGCAGGCAGAGAGGGAGAAGAGGACAACAAACGAGGGGCATTAACAAACTGTTTCATCGGAGTTTGATCAGGAGGCTGAACCCTCACCAGTCTGCAGAATCCCCCAACTGACTACACTGTAAGTGATAATCCACCTTAACCCTGGTTGTGGTTAAGCATCAACAACTACCCGACAACTGATACCCTGAGGTGGGCACCGACCATGTCACATACACGGACATGTGTGGCTGCTTGAGGATCGGGGTGCAATGCGACTACATCCGGCAATTGTAACACATGGCAAGTTTGTAGCACGAGCTA